AGTATATATACCACTTTTTAGGGATTTGCCGGTGAGTTTTCTTGACTCGCAAGCTTGAATTTTGTTGTGAAGATGTTTCCTCGCTCTGATGATGTCCGTCATATGACGGACGAAGGCTTAGCACGTGTTCACCGGAATCGAAGGAGATTGCCTCGGAAACAGCGTCAGCATGAATCTTCCAGTAACGGACGAAAGTTCAGCACGGGTTCACCGGAATCGAAGGAGATTGCCTCGGAAACAGCGTCAGCATGAATCTTCCAGTAAAGTAGCACGTGTTCACCGGAATCGAAGGAGATTACCTCGGAAACAGCGTCAGCATGAATCTTCCAGTAAAGCCTACGTTTTCACCGGAATCGAAGGAGATTGCCTCGGAAACAGCGTCAGCATGAATCTTCCAGTAAAGCCAATGGCTGGTCAAGAGAAATCCGCCGTCGTCTTCTGGTGGAACCGACCTTCGAATCTCTTCACCAAACACTTCTACTGGAAATGTAAGTAAGCCCAACATCCATGACAATTTACAGTCGGACCGTTGACTTGGTACATTCTCAGGCATTTCGCTGGTATCGTCAGTGAGCATTGCGATTCATAACTCCATACTACAAATCTATTATATATGCATGTGTATCTATAGCCAGAAGGATACAGCCGGATAGCCTTTAAAACTGGGTGTTACCTTGAAGCTTTTGCAAGAATGAGTTCTATCTTTGACGATGTCCGTAAAGTTGCAAGACGAGCGAAAGCTGGGCCCGTTTCCACCCGAAACGAGGCAGGATGTCTCATATGCTGCGCCAATCCAAAGGTCGTGACAAAGTCAAAATGCTGTAGGACAACGCGAATCATACGTCGTTTTCCAATTAGATTGACTTAGGGATCTTTACATCTTGTACTTTATTGCGAAATGAAATTCTTCCCAACAAATAAGTAATTTAATCGAAGATATGAAAACCAATTTGGTGTTGTCAAGACTAGGTCTCACTAAATCCGCTTAATAGGTGACACCTAAACTAGGTTGAAATAAGCAAGTAATAAACTGTGCTAATGAAGTGGTAAAGCAATCAGTCAAGAATCGACTTCGTTTGACTTTTTGACGAGTTGTGCAAAGGCTCCCTGACGTTTGGGAATTTAGCAAGACCACGATCCGACTCGGAAAATTTGTATGCATACTATGAACTCCAGAGAAGGTGTGTTTGTCTATATCACCCTGAAAACATGACGAAGATGCGAAAGCAGATTCAAACAACTTCTAAATATTCTTTATTATGACCGTAGATAATCATGCATAGACGATCAGTCTTGCTGACTTAGTGTCCACTTGCGATGTATTCATCATATTTGGTTTAAGGTGAATAAGGACTGGTAGTGGAATTTTCCCACAATCAAATGAGTAGACATTTGGTTTCCATATAATTTCACAGAGCCTTACTTTCCAAAAGGTTGTTCTTCTCCAGGGTGGACTGCAGTGGCAATGTGGCCGAGTGGGTAACGTGT